TAGGGAGAAGGAGCAGGAAGAGGGGAGGCCAGCTGGAACTGTGACTAAGACTGGACAGGCAGTGGACACTCTAAAGAAGGAGCAGGAACAGAAGAAGGCGGAAGACCAAGAACCTGCTCAAGGAGCGGAACGAAGTACGGCTGCGGTCGCGCAGCGCCTCCAGAACCAGTAGAGACAGCACCAGCACCAGCAGTATCACCAGCACGAGCGGTACCACCAGCAGCTCCAGTAGCGCCAACTCCAGCACCCACAGGAGCACCGGCTCCAGCAGCACCTCCAGCTTCAGTACCTCCAGCAGCACCTCCAGCTCCAGTACCTCCAGCACCCACAGCAGCTCCAGCTCCAGCAGGACCACCGGAAGACTCAGCAGCTCCGGCTCCAGTACCTCCAGTAGTACCTACGCCAGCAGCACTGCCAGCTCCAGCTCCACCAGGAGCTCCAGCACCAGTAGCGCCACCACGCCCAGCAGCTCCAGTACCTCCAGTACGAGCACCTCCGGGACTCGTGGCTCCAGTACCCCCAGCAGAAGTAGAACCTCCAGCAGCACGGCTCCAGCGCCGCGCAAACCACTCGCGCACCTCCTGTGGAGAGGGTAGCTCCCGCCGGGACAAAGCACCCGAAGGACCTCCAGGTCCAGCACCGGCAGGCTCCGCACCCCCACTCTCAGCAACCCCAGGCTCAGCACCCCCAGACCCAGCACCCCCAGGCTCCACACGCTCAGGCTCAGCACCCCCAGACCCAGCACCCCCAGGCTCCGCACGCTCAGGCTCAGCACCCCCAGACCCAGCACCTCTAGGCTCCTCACACTCAGGCCCAGCACCCCCAGAAGTACCAGAGTCAACAGCTACCTCGACAGGCTCGACTGCATCTACCTGGGACACATCTGAGGGGGCAGGACCCTGAGGGGGGAGGGGGTCTACCTGGGGGGGAACGGGCGTGAGGAAGAGTGGCGGGCGGGGGAGGGGAGCAGTGCGGTAGGGGAAGAGACGGTAGTACGGAACCGACTCGTCAAACGTGACGTCCGGGGAGGACAGAACACGACGCGAGGTGGGGTGGTAAAACCGCCAACCAGGCGCGTCAGGGGGGAAGCCGAGGAAGACGCAAGGAACAGCACGGGAGGACAGCTTGTCCGCAGACAAGTCACGTACGAAAGCTCGAGATCCCCAGACACGGAACGCAGACGCATCGCCAACCTTCCCCGTCCACCGCAGAGTAGGGGAGGTCTCCGGCATGGAGACCCGGGGCTGAAGGTTGATCTGATGCGCCGCGTACTGAACCGCGAACGGCCACAGAAAATGGGGAGCAGCCGCATGGATCATGGACGTACGAGCGACGTCCATGACCATGCCAATGCGGCGCTCAGCAATCCCATTTTGCTGTGGAGAGGCCGGAAGCGTGAACGTCTGGCGGATGCCCTCCGCACGACAGAAGGCTCGCAGAAGGTCAGAGGAAAACTCTCCACCTCTGTCGGAGTGGAGACGCAGAACAGGAAAGTCCGAGCCGAAACGCTCTCTGAGCTGGAGACGAGCAACGCGGATCCAGTTGATCAACACCTCAGTGACCTCACCCTTGCTGCGCAAGGGGAAGACTGTGGTGTAACGCGAGTAGTCGTCAACCACCAGCAGGAAGTAACGCTCGTGACCCTGTCCACGGACGCGGGCTGGGCCCCACACGTCCATGTGAAGAGTCTGCAGTGGAGCCTCTGTCGGGGGAAACTCGGAGGAGTGAGGAGCGGCGCGCTGCCGCCCCTCGACGCAGGGAACGCAGGTAGGGGCAGGCCCCGGGGGAAGGGGAGGGAGGGACCGGGGGAGACCAGAGACAAGGACACGGGAGGCCATGCCTCGAAGGCGAGGCAAGGAGGGGTGACCAAGACGGTGGTGCCAGAGGAGGGTCTGGTGGGACAGGAGGCGACACGAGCAGGGGGCAGACTCAGGACCTGACCGAGACGCTGCAGCAAACACCTGACTCGATGCAGCTACCTGACCAGACGCAGCAACCGGTGGAGACTCCGTGGTCAGTGTGTACAGACTGGACCCCGGTCGGCGGGTTAACGTGGCCAAGTGGCGGCCCGTCCGAGCACACGTGCAGTGGGTCACTCGCTGACTCACAGGGGTGAACTGGTCAACCCCGCCATCCTGAAGGTCAGCACCACTCACCAAGTTCGTAGAGAACGAGGGGAGATAGAGACCGGACAGGGAGCCGGACGGGGCTGCCGGACACGGGAGGACAGTGGAGTAGTGGGCAAGAACAGGACCCCCAGAGGGGTCTGCCAGGGAGACCGCGACCGGCCGACTGAGCGGCGTAAGGGTGGTGCGGTCTCGAAAGAAGGAACGGGAAGCACCTGAGTCGAGGGTGAAGGTGTGCAAAACCTGAGCCGACGCGGTACCTGAGAGAGCAGACGCAGTAGTACCTGGAGCAGCAGACTCACGAGCACCTGGAGCAGCAGACTCACTAGCACCTAAAGCAGCAGCCTCAATGCCCGGGTCAAGCGGAACACACACGTAACAGTCACCCTCAGCACTAATAGACACAGCATACATGGCAGCAAGAATAGCATCAAAGTCAAGATCAAAGATAGCTACACCCGACCTGAGCAGATCACCCCAGCGAGGGATCTCAGTGGCGTCGGGGAACTGGGTACGCCAGGCGTCAGTCAGGCGACTGAAGCAGCGCTGGGTGGCGTGCAGGCCGCCACACTGCTCTCCAGTGCGGTCGCCAGTGCGCAGGACGTAGGTACAGGGACCAGCACCCCCAGACCCCTGGCGCCCTGCGTACCACTCACGAAGCTGCTGGGGCGACGGGGTCTCACGAGAGCGCTGCTGCTGCTGGGGTCCCCGCTGCACAGTACCGCCTCGACCAGCTCCACCTCCGCCGCCGCCGCCTCCGCCGCCTCCACCCCAACCGCCACCGCCACCGCCGCCTCCGCCTCCACCGCTGCCACCGAAGCCCCCACCTCTGCCACCACCCCCGCCCCCACCCCCTCCGCCGCCTCCACCGCCACTACCTCCTCCCCCGCCACCTCCTCCAGCGCCCTTGCCCCGCTTGCCCTTGCCGTTGCGGCGCCTCTCGCTAGGAGCAGACGCAGCGCTGGCCGATTCGGTGCCAACAAGGTCGACAGCAGCAGCAGAGGCAACGGAGGGCAAAAGAGGAACGGGGGAGCACCCCTCAAAGAAAGGGGTACGAGGGTCACCACGAGAGGCTCCTACAGCGGTAATACTAGTCTCGGCTGCAAGGAGGCGCTCCTCGAGGAGGTCAACGGTGAGTGTGGTAGGGCAAAGAGAGAGGAAGTGATCCCTGACGGAGCGAAGGGTGTCAGGAAGCCGGGTGACTAGGTAGTAGAGGGTGATGTACATGGGGGGGGGGTTCTTGGCGCAGAACTCAGCAGGAAGCGCAGCGCGGTAGCGGGTGTCACTAGTGCGTAATGAGGTCAGTGACTGTGGCAAAAGCGGCAAGGTCAGGGAACAAGTACGGGAACATGCGGCGGCTAAGGGCAGCAGTGGCCACAACGAGCAGGTGAGCATGCCAGAATGTTTGTTGAGCATGGGACCACGGGAGTCTTTGAGCATGTGACCATGTGCATGCATGCTGTGCATGTGTGTGGAAGGGGGGCAGACCCTCGGCAAGGATGTAGTGGTGGACCTCGTGTGCTACAGGCGACATGGGGACAATGGGCAGGTGAGAATTTCTTCTCTAGAGTGCACTTGCGATGCCAGCAATGGGTGCGTGCAAGCATGGGAGCATGTGTGTGGGTGGAGGCGCAGACGGCAAGGATGTAGTGGTGGACCTCGTGTGCTACAGGCGATATGGGCACAACGAGCAGGTGGGCATGCTAGCTAGACTGCACGTGTTGGCATTTCAGCGTGCGAGTATGTGAGCATACGCACGAGCAGCGCAGGTGCTACGCTGCACTGCACATAACATATACGCACACACGTATGCACACACGCACACGCCGTTCCTGACAAGGCAGCATCGATCGATGCAGGGCGCTCGATCCGCTCCCTATCTCTTACCCCCTGTCCGTCCTACTCCCTCCTTCCCACCACAGGACGTATCCGCTGATGTACTCTCATATGCACACCAATATAAACAGATTCTTCCCCCCTCCTCCCAACCGCTCCCTTCTTCTCTTTACAGGACGACCCACGAGTAACACAACCCCTGATGTACTCTCTAGTAGACTCCCACCCGCCATGCCTTCAGCTGTATGCCGCACGGCTCATGGCAGAGGAGGTGGTTACAGCGGAGGTGAGTGCAGAAGTGTTGTGCCATTCACATGAGCCACGTGTCGTGCCTATCTGTAACTCCACTATTGGCGGTTACAGTAGATGTGAGTGCTGCACTGCTGGTACACGCCCGCCTTCCATGCCTTCAGCTCCACGCTGCACGGCTCATGGCAGAGGAGGTGGTTACGGCGGAGGTGAGTGCAAGGAGTGTGTGTTGTGCCTTTCACACGAGTCACGTGCCACGTGTCCTGCCTGCAACTGTGCTGTATGGACGGAGTCATAGCAGAGGGGAGTTTGATGGGGTTTCTACGATGTGCGATGAGGTGATGTGCATGAGGTGATGTGCATGAGGTGATGTGCATGAGGTGATGTGCATGAGGTGATGTGCGATGAGGTGATGTGCGATGAGGTGATGTGCGATGAGGTGATGTGCGATGAGGTGATGTGCATGAGGTGATGTGCATGAGGTGATGTGCATGAGGTGATGTGCATGAGGTGATGTGCATGAGGTGATGTGCATGAGGTGATGTGCATGAGGTGATGTGCATGAGGTGATGTGCATGAGGTGATGTGCATGAGGTGATGTGCATGAGGTGATGAGGTAATTGTTGATGTGATTGGTGACAGTGGATGGGAGCGGCGGTGTGTCGACGCGGGTGCTTCAGGGTTGTGCATGAATTGGAATCGGTTGTTCTCGCACACACCATAGCATGTGCACAAGTGGGCATGCACGTCCATACATATGCATGTCGATACACACACAGGTCGTTGTCGATGCACACACATCCAGACGATGCATCTGCGCACACCACATGCTGCATCTCCTCCATCCATCCGCATCCCCATCAGGAGATCGCCAGCTGGCAGGCTGACGTGGAGGCTGAGTTTGAGCGTGCGTTTGAGAACACCAGCAAGCAACAAGTGTCGCCACAGGATTGGCTCGCTGCCAACTGGCAAGGTACTGCCAACATTTCGTCTGTACAGCTTGCAATCGTTTCGACAGCTAGCATTATCATGCTGAGATGGATGGAATGTTTGTGGAAACGCAGGCAGCTTGGTAAGGGAACAGAGCATGGCATGGCGTATATGTGTGCTCTCAGTCTGCCATGTAGCATCTCATGACTTGTCAATCTGATTCTCATGGCATGGCAGGGGAGGCACTTGGGTCGCTGGTGAGTCAGCGCAAGGTGCAGCCCACTGGCCTTCCCCTGAAGACCTTGCAACGCGTGGTGAGGAACCGGGGAGATGGTGAAGGGAGGGCGAGATGGTGAGGTGGAAAGGACGGTGAGGGGAAGGATGGTGGAGGGGGAAGGGGGGAGGAAAACAGGGGGGAAGCGATGGCAAGGGAGAGGTGAACATGGAGAAGTTGGTATTGGGGGCTGCCTGGCGGATCAGGCGTTTTCTACGGTTTCATGTGCTCAATGCTATTATGAGTCACGGCCTCACTTGTTCTCACGTGTCATGACCACACACGTTCCCATGTTGTACCGACCTCACGTGTTCCCTTCCCATCCCACATGTTACAGGGAGATGCGCTCTGCACTGTACCACCGGACTTCACCTTACACCCTCAGGTACTGTGCTGACCCTTTCTTCTGAAACCAGCTTAAAAAGTAACACTTCACTTTCACTGTGTGCGCATGCTGCATGCATGCATGCTTGTCGTGAACCGTACCCACAACTAAACAACCATAAGCAACACAACCACAAGCAACGCAACCACAAGCAACGCAAGCACAAGCAACGCAAGCACAAGCAACGCAACCACAAGCAACGCAACCACAAGCAACGCAACCACAAGCAACGCAACCATAAGCAACGCAAGCACAAGCAACGCAAGCACAAGCAACGCAACCACAAGCAACGCAACCACAAGCAACGCAACCACAAGCAACGCAACCACAAGCAACGCAAGCACAAGCAACGCAAGCACAAGCAACGCAAGCACAAGCAACGCAACCATAAGCACAAGCAACGCAGAGCAACCCTCCAATATCCAGCAGCATCATTCATCACTGTTGCTCACACAGCAGTTGAAATCATTCACACGAAGGCTTCAACATGCACCCAGAGTGTCTCCTCTTGGTCATGCCTCCTCTTTCTTATACCAAGATCATCCCGTGCTATTTGCCGTCATCCTTTTTGGGTGATTGCCGCAAGATCATAACCACTGACTGATTCCCTCCTCCCTCCCTGTCCCCTGCTTCCTCCGTGTCCCTTTCTTCTTTGCTTTTCTCTCCCCCGTTCTCGTCCATGCTTCCCTCTTTTTCTCGCCCTCATCCCACCACCCGGTGCACCTGCCAGCCACGTAGCATCACCCTCTTCGTCCTCGCTTACCCCATACCCCGCCCTTCTCTGTTTTCTCGTCCTCCTCATCCGCTGCTTCCCGCTCTCCCTTACTCACCCTGCTCAAACCCCCCCGAGTGAACTGCCAGCCAGGTGGCATCGCTGCTGGAGAACCTGTTTTTCAGTCAGCTCAAAACACGCTCTCCCTTACTCACCCTGCTCGAGCCTCGAACCCCCCCCCCCTCCTCCTCCCCCCCGGGTGCGCTGCCATGACAGGTGGCATTTCTGCTGGAGAACCTGTTTTTGAGTCGACTAAAAAACACGCTCTCCCTTACTCACCCTGCTCGAACCCCCTTCCCCGGGTGCACTGCCAGGTGGCATTGCTGCTGGAGAACCTGTTTTTTAGTCGACTCAAAAACACGCTCTCCCTTACTCACCCTGCTCGAACCCCCCCATGATAGAAGAAGTGTTTTGGGACGTCTCAAAACTCATACTCCTCATCCGCTGCTTCCCACCCTCCCTTACTCACCCTGCTCGAACCCCCCCCCCCCCCCCCCCCCCCCCCCCCCCCCCCGCGCCCCGGGTGCACTGCCAGGTGGCATTGCTGCTGGAGAATCGCTGCAAAATGATGGCAACTGGGGAAGGCATCGACTGGGCCATGGCAGAGGCTCTTGCCTTCGGGTACGCTTGTGTGTCACTGATGAGAGATTCCGAGGCTGGGAAAGGCATTGACTGGGAAAGACATTAACTGGGGAAGGCATCGACTGGGCCATGGCATTGGCAGAGGCTCTTGCCTCCGGGTATGCTTGTGTGTCACTGATGAGAGATTTCGAAACTGTTGAAGGCATAGGCTGGGCTGGGGAAGGCTTAGGCTGGGAAGGCATTGACTGGGAAACGCATAGGCTGGGGAAGGCAGAGGCTGGGGAAGCCGTGTCGCCTCGACAGCCCCACCTCTTCTATTCCTCCCGCCGCCCGTGCTCTTTTCCGTCCCGCCTCCCTGCTTAGATTCTTTAACATCTGCCTGATCCAATCCCCTTGCAGCAACCCAGCACATTTCCTACTCCGATCCCATTGCCCCCACCCCACCCGCCCACCCACCCAACCACCCATCCACTCCCGCCCCCCGTCCAGCTCGCTTCTTCTGCCATTCGACCCGTCGCTGAACCAGACGGCAGACAGCAACCCCACCCATGCTTCCTTTTCCCATCCCAATTCCATCCGCCCTTCTTCCCCTTTCCCCCCATCCAGCTCCCTTCTTCTGCCATTTGACCCCTCTCTCAATCAGACGGCTGACAGCAACCCCACCCATGCGGTGCGGCTGAGCGGGCAGGATTGTGAGCGCGGCACCTTCAACCACCGCCATGCCGTCATGCATGACCAGGTCACAGGGCAGCGGTGAGTGTGATGCGATGCGATGCGATGCGATGTGATGTGATGCATGCGCGTAGATGCGCACACACTCATAAGGTGTGGTGTGGTGCATGTTCTTATATCTGCACACACACTCATGGGGCACATTCAACCACCGCCATACTGTCATGTCATGCACGACCAGACGAGGCCATGGGGCAGGAGTGGCGAGTGCGTTCTCTCTACACCATAGCCACTCAACTACAAGCGTCTAGTGTTTATAACATATCATATACACCCTTTTGTAGCAGCTAATCCAAGCCTTGGAGTCTCTTTTCACACCAGTACCCCCTCCATCCCTCCCTTCCTCCCTCCCTCCCTCCCATACGACCCCAACCAATCTGTGTGCTTCACCCCAGGTACACCCCCCTACAGCACGTGGCAGCGGGGCAGGAGCGATTCATGGTGTGCAACTTGACTCGAGCCTGTCAGAAGCTGCTGTTGTGCCCTCAAAGTGCGCTTCACACCACCACTCCCACTCCATGCAATACGGCCCACATGTGAATCATGATCCATTGCAGGTACACCCCTCTACAGCACGTGGCAGCGGGGCAGGAGCGATTCATGGTGTGCAACTTGACTCGAGCCTGTCAGAAGCTGCTGTTGTGCCCTCAAAGTGCGCTTCACACCACCACTCCCACTCCATGCAATACGGCCCACATGTGAATCATGATCCATTGCAGGTACACCCCTCTACAGCACGTGGCAGCGGGGCAGGAGCGATTCATGGTGTGCAACTTGACTCGAGCCTGTCAGAAGCTGCTGTTGTGCCCTCAAAGTGCGCTTCACACCACCACTCCCACTCCATGCAATACGGCCCACATGTGAATCATGATCCATTGCAGGTACACCCCGCTACAGCACGTGGCAGCGGGGCAGGAGCGATTCATGGTGTGCAACTCGAGCCTGTCGGAGGCAGCAGTGCTGGGCTTTGAGTACGGCTTCAGCCTCGAGAACGAGAACGCCTTCGTGTGCTGGGAGGCGCAGGTGGGTTGGGTTGGGAGGGCCAGTGGCGTGCTGTGCAGTGCTGGGCTTTGAGTTCGAGTACGGCTTCAGCCTGGAGAACGAAAATGCCCTCGTCTGCTGGGAAGGAAGCGCAGGTGAGTTAGATGGACTGCTCTCGTGCACTGGGCCTCGAATTACGAGAATGCCCTGGTCTGCTGGGAGAAGAGCAGGTGGGTTAGGAGGTTCGCCCGTGTGCCATGCAGGTGTTGATGTGTTATGTAGCCCACCTGTTCTCTTCTGACATGTCTTGTGCCGGCCGGCACGGCTCATGTGCTGTACGGTACTGGGATTGGATGGGAGGCTCACGTGGGCTATAACACTCACTCCTCCACTCTCCCTTCACTCCTTTCTGTATCCTATCCCTCTTCTATTCCTATCCTTTCCCTCTCCTCTCCCTCTCCTCCCATTCTCTTCCTCTCCTCTCCCTTTTTTCCCCCTTCCACTCTCCCGTCACTCTTTCCCCTCTCCTCTCCGTCTCCCCCCCTTCTCCCCTCCCTCTCCTCGCCCTTCCTCCACCCACCGCACCTACTCCCCCCCCGGTGCCATCAGTTTGGGGACTTTGCGAACAACGCGCAGGTGATAATAGACAACTTCATAGTGAGCGGGGAGGACAAGTGGATGACCCCCACGGGCCTCGTGCTACTGCTGCCGCACGGCTTCGACGGCCAGGGCCCCGAGCACTCCTCCGCCCGCCTCGAGAGGTACCTGCAGGTGGATTGCTCTTGGGGGCCTTGAGAGGTACCCGCAGGTGGGTCTGTTTTTCAACTGCAAGAAAAGAACCACCGGTTTCTTGTCGCTACTTCCGCATGGCTTTGATGGCCAGGGGGGACCGAGCACCCCTCCGCCCGCCTCGAGAGGTACCTGCAGGTGGGTGCTGGGTCCTTCAGGTGAGTTCTTGGGAGGCTTGAGAGAAATACCTGCACGTGGGTCCTTCAGGTGGGTCCTTCAGGTGGGTCCTTCAGGTGGGTCCTTCAGGTGGGTCCTTCAGGTGGGTCCTTCAGGTGGGTCCTTCAGGTGGGTCCTTCAGGTGGGTCCTTCAGGTGGGTCCTTCAGGTGGGTCCTTCAGGTGGGTCCTTCAGGTGGGGGTCCTTCAGGTGGGTCCTTCAGGTGAGTCCTTTAGGTGGGTCCTTCAGTTCAGGGTGGGTCTTCCAGGTTGGTCCTTCTTGGGGGCCTTGAGAATTACCTGCAGGTGGTTCTTCAGGTGGGTCCTTCAGGTTGATCCTGCAGGTTGTCTGATTTCATGTAATTTCTAATGGCCATGGCACGTCACTCAATCCACATCTGTCTGCTCTCCTTGACAGCTCGGCTAGACACCTTCCATCCCTTCACCTACTGCCACCCCACTTTTCCATTCATTTCCTCCTCCCCACCGCTCCCCCAACACTTTCCGTCCTCTGTTTTCCCACCTCCGTCCCATTTCTTCCCCTCCCTCTTTCCTCTTTCCCATTCCCTCCCCTCCCCCATTCTCTTCTCTTACCTCTCCGCTCCCCCGTTCCTTCCCCTTCACCTGTCTCCAAGTAGCTAGTGAACGACGATGCCGACCATCTCCCCGGCTACAGTCCACACTCTTGGGACATCCCAAAAGCCCTCCCCTCCCCCATTCTCTTCCCCTACCCCCCACTTCCTCCGCTCCCCCATTCCTTCCCCTTCACCTGTCTCCAAGTAGCTAGTGAACGACGATGCCGACCACCTTCCCGGCTACAGTCCACACTTGGCCGCCCAGATTGAGGCGGGGTTCACGATAGCCGACCGCGGTGAGTGGGTGGCGGTGGGCTGGGTGGCAACAGTGCTTGGATGACGAGTCGATGGGCTTGAATCAACAGAAATGGAAGAATAGTGCTTCGGCTAAAACAGAGTAAGGGGCATGGATAGAAGAATGGAGAGCATGGGAAGAGCAAGTGAAGATTGGGAATCTGGTGGAGAGGGCTGTTGAGGGGGAGAGGGCAGTTGAGGTGGAGAGGGCAGTTGAGGGGGAGAGGGCAGTTGAGGTGGAGAGGGCAGTTGAGGGGGAGAGGGCAGTTGAGGTGGAGAGGGCAGTTGAGGTGGAGAGGGCAGTTGAGGTGGAGAGGGTACTAGAAGGACTGTTGGTGATGGCGTCTCTTATTTCAACCCTACCAACCCTAATCCATGGCAGACAACAAGGGCCACGTGTCACTCTCTGATTTGCTGGAGTTCATGCAATCACAATACGGGCTGGGCCAGGACTACGTGACGGCGCTTGCCCACCAGATGCACATCGACGAATCAAATCAAATCTCCAAGTGAGCCGACAGATTGGTGAAGGAGCTACCGCATACACCATACACGTAGCTCGTGCGATCATGTCTGTCGTATCAACTCTGGGTCAGTGGGAGGCATTCATGGTGTGTACGTAACATACCTACATACATGCATACATACGTCCGGCATTTGTGATCACATCACGTGTGTGCCTCCAGGGCGGACTGAGAGGCATCCGTGGTGCTTTGGTTGCAGCAACGTAATTTCCGCTGTGATTATAGGTTTCTTACTCAGCTCCATGCATGCATCATACATATGCCATGTGCTGTGTGTGTCCCGCCAGGGCGGACTGGGAGTCATTCATGGTGAGGTGGATGAGGCGCAACGCACAGAGGGACAACAACGTGTGTGTCGTCAACCTCACCACGCCCACCAACTACTTCCACGCCCTCCGCCGCCAGGTGCTTGCCCTCCGCCGCCAGGTACTTTCTTTACTTCTCCCCACTGCCAGGTGCCCTCCGCCGCCAGGTGCCCTCTCTGCTGCCAGGTGCCCTCTGCTGCCAGGTGCCCTCTGCTGCCAGGTGCCCTCTGCTGCCAGGTGCCCTCTGCTGCCAGGTGCCTTCTGCTGCGAGGTGCCCTCTGCTGCCAGGTGCCCTCTGCTGCCAGGTGCCCTCTGCTGCGAGGTGCCCTCTGCTGCCAGGTGCCCTCTGCTGCCAGGTGCCCTCTGCTGCGAGGTGCCCTCTGCTGCCAGGTGCCCTCTGCTGCCAGGTGCCCTCTGCTGCGAGGTGCCCTCTGCTGCCAGGTGCCCTCTGCTGCCAGGTGCCCTCTGCTGCCAGGTGCCCTCTGCTGCCAGGTGCCCTCTGCTGCCAGGTGCCCTCTGCTGCCAGGTGCCCTCTGCTGCCAGGTGCCCTCTGCTGCCAGGTGCCCTCTGCTGCCAGGTGCCCTCTGCTGCCAGGTGCCCTCTGCTGCCAGGTGCCCTCTGCTGCCAGGTGCCCTCCACTGCTGTCTGTTGACATGTGTCATCAAGGCATAATCTCATTATGTGCATACCACTACCATCCTCATCTCCTAGTGCTTATCTCTCCCCATCCACCCATCTGCACCCATGTGCACCCATCTGTCGGTCACCTCTCTCCCTTGCGCAGGTCAATCGGCATTTCTCCAAGCCCCTCGTCGTCATGTCCCCCAAGGTGACGCCCCTTGCTGCTCACACCCCTTGCTGCTCACACCCCTTGCTTCTCACACCCCTTGCTGCTCACACCCCTTGCTGCTCACACCCCTTGCTGCTCACGCCCCTTGCTGCTCACACCCCTTGCTGCTCACGCCCCTACTGTTCTTGACCTTCTTTGTATATTGTTCTAGTGTAGAAGAGGTTGCGTGAGTTGTGCCATAGACACAACATCCCAAACTTACCCAAATGCGATCATGCCAACTCTCCAACCCACCAATTGCAGACTTCAGCAGATCTTGTAGGAAAAAATCCCTGAGTTCCCTTTCGTCCTTTCCAGCCCATTCTTAGTGTACATGCGACACAAGAGCTCCATTACCCAATCAATCACTCCCACTCAAGTTAGTAGCTTGTATCTCTGTCCTCCCATTACACCCCTGTTTCTCCCCCGCCTTCTGCCCAAGCAGTACCTTCTGCATCACAAGCCCTGCGCATCACCTCTCAGCCATTTCACATCCGGCACATTCTTCCAGTGAGTGAGCTCTCATTCCCCTCGCATGCTTCTTGCAATACCTCCCCCCTTCTTCCCCCCCTTCCCCCATTGACATCCACAGTGTGACTCTCAACCTTCTTTCCTTTCATGGAAACGGATATGTCTGTAGGGCAGTTTTCGATGCATAGGCGACAACGTGAGGCATACACAAAGCATGGGTTATGTGCTCCCCTTCCTCTCCCCTCTGTGGAATGCTTTTCTGAGTCGTCCCAAAAGACGAGTCTCTAGTCGAATATAAGCGTAATACTACACCCCTGTGTGCAATGCGCGCCGCCAGGCCAGTGATAGCGGATGGAGACATAGGAGACAACATGCGGCATTTGCATGCTGACAAGCTGCTGCCGCCCGGCCAGATGAAACGGCTTGTGCTGTGCTCGGGGAAGGTGAGGCATTGGCATGCTCTGTGTTGTGGTGCATATTGAATTTCTGCTGACGTATCATGCTACATGGTATGGCATGTGATGGCATGTGACGGCATGGGATGGCACCTGCGTTGCGACACTACATGCTGCCGCATGCTTTGCGTCCCCAATTCACCGTCTATCAAACCGTGCCACCATCACATCCCTGCTCTCCACCTTCCTTCCTGCTACCCATGCCACAACAGCAGACCTTCTACTCGACGCACCCATGTGTCCATACCTCCCTCCCTGCCACCACCACGCCAGATCTACTACTCGCTGGCGCACGCCAGGAGGGCGAGGAAGCAGTGGGAGGTGGGGCTGATGCGCATCGAGCAGCTGGCGCCCATGGCTGTTGACCATGTAGCGCGGGTCATCAACAGCCACTCTTCTGCTGAGCTCGTGTGGGCGCAGGTGGGTGCTCCTCCCCTCCTTCCCCTCCTCTTGGCTCGCTGTCTTTGCTCCTCCTCTGGGCTGATGCGCATAGAGCAGCTGGCGCCCATGGCGGTGGACCATATAGCGCGGGTCATCAACAGCCACTCTTCTGCTGAGCTCGTGTGGGCGCAGGTGGGTGCTGCTCCTCTCCCCCTTTCCTCTTTTCTCCTCCTTTTCTTCCCCCACTCTTCCTCCCCCCTGGGGGTTGATGCGCATAGAGCAGCTGGCGCCCATGGCTGTGGACCATGTAGCCTGGGTCATCAATTGCCACCCCTCTGCTGAGCTCGTGTGGGGGCAGGTGAGTGCTCCTCCCTCTTCTTTTCCACCCGCTTTGCTCACCCCACACACTTGTGCGGCGGTAGGGTCGTAAGTAGGCACTCCAGTGCTTCACTCGTGCGGGTACAAGCGCAACCCAGCTACTGCTCTTAGAGTTCACATGTTTCCTGTCTCATTTCTTTTGCCGGTATGCCAATTGTTCTACTGCATTGTTACAGGAGGAGCCCAAGAACATGGGAGCATGGCCGTACATCAGACCACGTGTCGCCACGCTACTGCACAGCCTGTGTCCAGGTCACCCTGCCACATCAGCACCCATGCCCATCCGTTTTGTTGGGCGTGCCCCATCCGCCTCTCCTGCCACTGGTAGCTTCGCCATCCACCAATCAGAAACCAAAGCCATCATTGATGCTGCACTTGCATGACTACTAATTACTGGTAAGGAGAATATAATAGCATATATTCTATATACCTTCATTATATTCAGCTCTTATTATTCAGGATATGCTGGTGATTATTTCGATTAGAAAGAAAGGGTGATCTATACCAAACAGCACAAAGTTAAGTTTATATATGTCAGCGCTACACTCCTGATGGAACAGGTCTGATCAATCTCGAGATTGGCGCGAGCTCATGTGGTTGGCTCGTGCGACTCCTCCAGGCAGACCCATCTGCCTACAAGAATTGCTGTGGCGCTACACCACCACAAAACTACTGTAGCTCGCTGCCTTTCATGTCACCTCACCAACATCCTTGTTGCTCAAAATTCACTTCATTCGGTAAGGTGAGGTTGCAGAGCATTTCTCTGCATTCGATAACGGTTGAAACGGGTTATGTGAGAAAACAAATTCAACAGTACCAGGTTGGTTTGTTGGAGGCATCGTGGCTTGGTCAGTTGTGAGCAATCACGCACAGCAAGGTGGTTGTTGGATTCGTTTCCTACTTTCGCTGACCACTTCACCATGTACCCATTCTGCATTCCGTGAATTCACTTGTTTCGCTTCGGATTTAGGGTTTGATCGCCTGGTACGGACTATCTCTTTTAGTTTCAGGTGCGATCCGAGGCATTTCCGGAAGGCAGGCTTTGCCGTTTCGAGAGCAGCGACAAGACAAATCCCCGCGCCAGATCTAGTGCGGGGATTTCTGTTCAGATTCTCTCCACTACCAGCATCCACGCGAGCTCCTATTCTTCCTACTCAAGAATCTTACCGTGCTTCTTACTTTTAGGCTCATCCTCTATTGAAAATTTACACATTCTCTGCCGATATCCTAAGCTCATTAGCGCGAGCACTTCTCAATGCATCAGTCAGCCGCGGCCGGCAAGAGCGGCAGATACGGTCGGTCCCCCTCCGGTTCCCGCGACTCCCCGCTTGCGCCCTCCCGCTCCGACCAGCCCAGCTGGCGCTCCGCCGCCGCCGCTCCTCCCCCGCCCGCGGGGCCAGGAGCGGCGGGAGCAGGCGGAGGGGGAAGCACAGGATGGGGGGACAGCGCGGACGGCGGTAGATCTGCGGGCGGCGCAGCTCCGGGGGGAGCGTGGGCGCGGGGCGGACCGGGGAAGAGCGACAACGCCTGGGGAAGGGGAGATGGCCCTGGTGGGGCTGGCGGAGCCCGCGGGGGACCTGGCGGAAACCCGTGGCACACGGGCGGGGGCGGGGTGGGTGTGCTGACTGGCGCGTGGCAGCAGCCGCTGCAACACCTGCAGCAGCCACCGCCGCCGCCGCTGGACCAGGCGCAAGCGGGGAAGGGCGCGAGAAAAGGGGACGGCGCGGGCGCGCTTGGCGGAGGGGGGGATAGCGCGAATGGGGGGAGCGCGAACGGGGGGAGCGCGGGAGATGCGAGCGTGGGGGCAGCGCGCGCGGGGGGCCGGGAGTGGATGGTGGCTGTGAGCGCGTGCCTGATCGGGCACGCGGTGGAGGTACAACTGGTGCAGGGCGACTCGTACTCAGGCATATTCCACGCTGCTAACGAGGAGGACTTTGGTGAGTTGGCTGCTAAAAATAAGACTTCGGTGAGGCACCTGTGCTACTAACGAGGACGATATCGGTGAGTTGGTTGGCGCATATTCCAAGCTTCTAACGAGGAAGGATTTGGCTAATTGTTCAGAAGCCTTCGAAGTAGTCTGCTGGGAGCAAGACACTCGAAGATTTGAGGTGCCAATGGCTGGGTGCAGTTTCGTTCAGATTGTATTTAGTTCCTTCCACCCAACCCAAACCTCCTCCGTGCTCTTGAGTCCTCTCAGCAACTCTCCTCCCGTCCGGTGTTTCTAACCACTGCCACCAGGAGTGGTGCTCAGCTCAGGATGGCGCGGCTGTTGCAGTTTCGTTCAGGTTGTATTCAGTTCCATCCGTGTTCCTCCTCCCGTGCTCCCAACTCCATACCGCCAGGCGTGGTGCTCAGGATGGCGCGGCTGGTGCGGCAGGGAACAGGCCCGCAGAGCACAGAGACGCCTGCAGTCAGGGAAGCTGCCAGGAAGCCTCCGGTGAAGACGTTGGTGGTGCCTGCAGCCGACCTCGTGCAGCTGATCGCCAAGGCAAGCTCGCTCTTTACGCTCTTCTCTCGCTCTTTACGCTGTTCTCTCGCTCCACCATCTCTATTTCTGAGCTGTCTAGTTTTGAGGCGCCTCAAAACTCGACCTCATGCAGCTGATCGCCAAGGCAAGCTCGCTCTTCTTTACGCTGTTCTCTCGCTCCACCATCTCTATTTCTGAGCTGCGCTTTCTCTCCCTAGGCTCGCCCTCTAATTCCAGCAAGGAAGGAATTCGCTTGAATCAATTTTAATATATTCAGGTACAAATAGAGAAGAAATATATAGTTCTAGATAGCAAGGACCTTGGGAATCAACCTGGGAACAACCAGGGATGATCCCAAATAATTCCAAGCAACAGAACCAACCTGGCTGGACAAAACAGCAGGTGGTAGGTTGGTAAACAACCTCTGGTTCTGTTTTTCCAACCTGGGAAAACAACAACCAGGTTCAGGTCCTAAAAACAGAACCTGTTTTGTCTTTGCCCAACCAGCCAAATGCTGGTTCCGCTGGTTTCCCCTGGCCCTGTAGCATGCAGATACAGACAAACAACATCCAACCTTCACCTAAATTGTACCCCTATAGTGCCTGCCCTGCTACACCATAGTCAACCAAACAAAACAGTACAAGTTCGAGTTGGATATAACTGAATCTGCGCAATAAATTAAACCGAACTGCAAAGCTTCCATATTGGGTTCCTTTGCGAGCTCGTCCTTTCTGCTTGCACTGTTCATAGCGCGTACAATGTTGTGCCGAAGCGCACATTGCGCGAGTACCTGCAAATGCATCAAGCGAAACTTGCGAAAACAAACAAACACACGAACATTCCGCTGCTCTCTCCCCCACAAGGTGCTCTCTCCCCCACAAGCTGCTCTCTCCCCCACAAGCTGCTCTCTCCCCCACAAGCTGCTCTCTCCCCCACAAGCTGCTCTCTCCCCCACAAGCTGCTCTCTCCCCGTTCTTTTCATTTCATGGTGTCATTGAAGGAAATGCCAGCTTTTGAACTTCTGGCAATGGCTGTCCAACGTGAATCGGCTGTGGATTGAAATGCTGGAAATGCCCTATAAACCCTGTGGTCCAATTTCTGGTTCACCTCCCTCGCCTCTTCGTCCCTCTTCTCTCTCCCCCACGCTCCCACCCCCACTCTCTCTCTCTCATCCGCTCTCTTGCCCCCATTCTCTCTCAACCGCTCTATCGACCCCAATCTCTCATCCCTGTACACACTCCCTCCCTCACTCACTGACAGGATGTCCCCCTGTTTGGATCGGACCTGCTGGCCTCGTCTATGGCGGCGAACGGGGAGATCAGAACGGACAGCAGCATCGGCAGCATGCTCACCAGCGCACGGGGCTCGTGGGGGGGCGCAGGGGGAGGGGCGAGCTGCACCAGTGGCAGGCTGAGACCTGAGGCGCCTTAAAACCCCTCTTTCTTTCTCACCCCTTTCTCCCTCTCCCCGCCTCTCACCCTCCCCCCTTCCCCCCTCCCTCCCTCAATCACAGGACGTGCCTCTGTTCGGATCCGACCTGCTGGCCTCGTCTCTGGCAGCTAACGGGGAGATCAGAACGGACAGCAGCATCGGCAGCATGCTCACCAGCGCGCGCGGCAGCTGGGGGGGGGCAGGGGGAAGCGCAGGGGTGTGAGCTAGTGGTGGGACGATGCACCTCAAAAATTGTCTTTCTCTCTCACCCCTCCCTCTGCCCTCCCCCCTCCCCCCTCTCCCCTCCCCTTCCCCACTTCCCTCTCCCTCCCTCTCTCACAGGACGTGCCTCTGTTTGGGTCGGACCTGCTCGCCTCGTCTGTTGCAGCCAACGGGGAGATCAGAACGGACAGCAGCATCGGCAGCATGCTCACCAGCGCTCGTGGCTCGTGGGGGGGCGCCGGAGGGGGCGCTGGGGGGGAGGGGCGCGAGCTGCAGCGGTGGGCGCCGGAGGGAGGGGAGCAGGGGATGGGGCTGGACGAGGACAGCTTCCGAAGCAGCTCCAGGTAGGGAGTTAGGGGTGCGGGTGGAGAGGTGATGAGGGAGGGGGAGGGGAGGGGAGGGGAAGGGGGTAGGGGAGGGGATGGGGCTGGACGAGGATAGCTTCCGAAGCAGCTCCAGGTAGGGAGTTAGGGGTGCGGGTGGAGAGGTGATGAGGGAGGGGGAGGGGAGGGGAGGGGAAGGGGGTAGGGGAGGGGATGGGGCTGGACGAGGATAGCTTCCGAAGCAGCTCCAGGTAGGGAGAGAGGGGAGGGCAGATGGTAGAGGGTGAAGGGTAAAGATGCTGCGTGATGTGTGCGTACGTTTGGGGGTGAGTCTGTCTGTTCTGTTCCCATCCCCCTTGTCCTCCCCTCCCTCTTTCCCCTCACCATCCCACTCACCCGCTGTGTGCTGGTAGGGCGTGGGACCAGTTTGAGGCGAATCAGAAGCTGTCTATACACGTGGAGACTTCATTCGACAAGGCCATCTACGAGACACCGGGCACCCGCTCCCCTCCCCCGCCTTCCCTCCCCTTGTCTTCACTTCATCCCACCCACCCACCCTCGCTCACAGGGCGTGGGACCAGTTTGAGGCGAATCGCAAGCTGTTTGGCGTGGAGACATCGTTCGACGAAGCCATCTACACGACTCCGCTGGTGCGGCCGTCCCGGGAGCTGCAGGCGCATGCTGAACGGATCGCACGGGAGATTGAGTCGCAGCCGAGCAGGAACATGCACACTGCTGAGGTGAGGAGGGAAGGTGGTGGGGCTGTGGGTGGGGTGAGGGAAGGGGGAGGTATGTATGTACACATGTAAAGATGCATGCCTGCGCGCATGGGAGCTGCAGGCGCATGCTGAGCGAATCGCACGGGAGATTGAGTCACAGCCGAGCAGGAACATGCACACTGCTGAGGTGAGGAGAAATGAGGGGGGGGGGGGGGGAGGGCGGGGAATATGCGCTTTGTGCGGATGCGAAGACGCATGCAGGCATGTGCGCAGGAGAGCTGCAGGTGTATGCAGAGAGAGTTGCAAGGGAGATAGAGTTGCAAAGCAAGGAAGACCACTGTTGAATATCTCTCTCCCTCTCCCCCTCATCTCCACCCCCCCTCGTCTTCCCCTCATCTCCTTCCCCCTCAACTTCCCATCTCCCTCTCATTCTCTCCTCCCCATCTCCCTCCCCACAACCCCCCCATCAGGAGCGAGGCTTCCACCTGCGCACAGCAGCCCGCACGCTGGCCTCGGCAGTCAAGGCCGCCCTCTCATTTCCCTCCTCTCCTCTCCCGTTCCTCTCCCTCTCATCTCCCTCTCATTTCCCTCCTCCCTCTCCCGTTCCTCTCCTCTCCCGCTCCTCTCCCTCTCTCATCTCCCTCTCCTTTCCCTCTCACCTCCTTTCATCTTCGCCTCCTTACAACCCCACCATCAGGAGCGGGGCTTCCACCTGCGCAATGCAGCCCGCACGTTGGCATCGGCAGTCAAGGCCGCCCTCTCCTCGGATGACCCATCTGCTGTTGGGGGCCTGGGCGGCAGTGCGGACAGTGCGTGGGACGATGATGATGACGACATGGACGAGGAGACCAAGTACTCTTCGGTCATTCGCTCCACGTGAGTGGCAAGAGCGGGTCAAGTCGAGTCGAGTGTATTATTTTTTCGAGTAAACTCTTAAGTGGCCGTGGACAGTGCGTGGGACGATGTTGATGATTTTGACGAGGAGACCAAGTACTCTTCAGTCATCCGCTCCGCGTGAGTGTTGGGGGAGAGAGAGAGTCGAATGAGTATTCTCTAGTCGACGTAAAACTCACCGCAGCAGATAGTGCGTTGGATGATGACAATGGCATGGACGAGAAGACCAAGTACTCTTTGGTCACCCATGCAACCATGCACTCATCCATGCAACCATGCAACCATGCAACCATGCACTCATCCATGCACCCATGCAACCATGCAACCATGCACTCATCCATGCACCCATGCAACCATCCATGCAACCATGCACTCATCCATGCACCCATGCAACCATGCAACCATGCACTCATCCATGCACCCATGCAACCATGCAACCATGCACTCATCCATGCACCCATGCAACCATGCAACCATGCAACCATGCACTCATCCATGCACCCATGCAACCATGCAACCATGCACTCATCCATGCACCCATGCAACCATGCACCCATGCAACCATGCACCCATGCAACCATGCACCCATGCAACCATGCACCCATGCACTCATCCATGCACCCATGCAACCATGCACCCATGCAACCATGCACCCATGCAACCATGCACCCATGCAACCATGCACCCATCCATGCACCCATGCAACCATGCACCCATCCATGCACCCATCAATGCACCCATGCACCCATGCACCCATCCATGCACCCATGCAACCATCTATGCACCCATGCACCCATGCACCCATCCATGCACCCATGCACCCATCCATGCACCCATGCACCCATGCACCCATCCATGCACCCATGCACCCATCCACGCACCCATGCGTCCACGGTCCACCCATACCACATATGCCCATGTTATCACCCATGCACCCATGCACTCTTACCTTACCACACCACCCATACCACCCACCCATGCACTCATACACTGCAGCGCTGATCTGGACAGTGGAATGGACGACGAGGTGGATGATGCCAACGATGAGACCTTCGGTGATGCCGCCCCCACCACCGTGCATGGCACTGTAAGTCAGTTGGGGGTCGGGGTGGGGCGAAGGGGAGAGGGAGGTGGGGGAGAGAAAGGGTGGGTGAATGTGGGCAGCGGATCGACGAGGTGGATGATGCCTCCATGCCAACCATGAGACCTTTGGTGATGCTGGCCCCACCACCGTGCATGGCACTGTAAGTCACTTGGGGGTTGGGGTGGGGCGAACGAAGGGGAGAGGGAGGTGGGGGAGAGAAAGGGTGGGTGAATGTGGGCAGTGGATCAACGAGGTGGATGATGCTTTTGTGCCAACGATGAGACCTTTGGTGATGCCGCCCCCTCCACCGTGCATGCCACTGTAAGTCAGTTGGGGTTGGGCCGAGGGGGAGAAGGAGGTGGGGGAGAGAAGGGTTGGGGTAGAAGTGGTGTTGGTGCTCCCCCCACGGGCCATGCCAGCCTGGGGGGAAGGGAGTGGGGGGAAGGGAGTGGGGGGCAGATGGGGTGCTGCCGGTGGTGGGGAATCTGGTGAATGTGCGGGTGGTGAATGTGCGGGTGGTGAATGTGCGATTGGTGAATGTGCGGGTGGTGAATGTGCGATTGGTGAATGTGCGGGTGGTGAATGTGCGATTGGTGAATGTGCGGGTGGTGAATGTGCGGGTGGTGAATGTGCGATTGGTGAATGTGCGGGTGGTGAATGTGCGATTGGTGAATGTGCGGTTGGTGAATGTGCGGTTGGGAATGTGAGATTCGTGGTTGCAACGTATTTGACCTACGCATTCGTGATATGCGTAGGTCAAGTGAAGATGCCATATGACTCATGTGCCTCCCCCGCTGCCCACTCAATTTTCTCCTTTTCTCTTCTTTCATCACTGCTGCTGCTCTAATCAACCCTGCATGATCCTCTCCTTGCTGCTTTTCTATGCAACCCTCCCTGCTTGTTGCTACCCCCAGCCCCAGGCGCCCCCCTTGCTGCCTACTCCAGGTGTTTCGTCTGAATCCGCTGCCAAAAGCGCTCCAGGCGAAAGCCAGAAACAGACAGAAGTTGCCGCCCTAGAAGCTGCAGGCGAGGGCGAGAAACGGACGGAATCTGCCGCCCAAACGACTGCGGGTGGCAGCGGTGACAAAACGGAGAGGGGAGAGAAGGTGAAGCAGGGGAGTAGTGGAACCGAGGAAACGAAAGAGGAAGGGGCGAAGGGAGCAGCAGGGGAGAGTAAGGAGGGCGAGAAAGACGGAAAGGAAGGGAAGAAAGGGAAGGAGGGGAAGGAGGCGAGGGAGGGGAAGGTGGCAGTGGGGGCGTCACGATCATCATCAGCATCATCCACCTCGTCTGCCAGCGGTGCCAGTGGTGCTCTCTCCGCCTCTGACCTGCCCTCCATCCCCTCCCACCCGCGCCTGCGCATGCACCCCCGTCGCCTCGTCAAGGTGTGGGAACGGACGGCAATGGGCAGTGGGGAACGGGAATGAGGAACGGGAATGAGGAACGGGAATGAGGAACGGGAATGAGGAACGGGAATGAGGAACGGGAATGAGGAACGGGAATGAGGAACGGGAATGAGGAACGGGAATGAGGAACGGGAATGAGGAACGGGAATGAGGAACGGGAATGAGGAACGGGAATGAGGAACGGGAATGAGGAACGGGAATGAGGTACGGGAATGAGGAACGGGAATGAGGAACGGGAATGAGGAACGGGAATGAGGAACGGGAATGAGGAACGGGAATGAGGAACGGGAATGAGGAACGGGAATGAGGAACGGGAATGAGGAACGGGAATGAGGAACGGGAATGAGGAACGGGAATGAGGAACGGGAATGAGGAACGGGAATGAGGAACGGGAATGAGGAACGGGAATGAGGAACGGGAATGAGGAACGGGAATGAGGAACGGGAATGAGGAACGGGAATGAGGAACGGGAATGAGGAACGGGAATGAGGAACGGGAATGAGGAACGGGAATGAGGAACGGGAATGAGGAACGGGAATGAGGAACGGGAATGAGGAACGGGATCCTAAACGGGAACGGCAAACGAGAGTAGGGAATGCACACCAGCCGGCCGCATCGTCAACTTATACCACACTTCACTCATCCCATTGCTTGCTGGTGTCTTCAGAGGTCATTTCGAATGCCTTGTTCGTTTTTGGCCGATCGTATGCCCACCCACCCCGTTCCCCTTCCCCCAACTCCCCAGCTCCATTCATCTTTCCCCACTCCACTTCTCTTCCTTTTCTCCGCTCCCCGCACCCGCGCTTCCCCACCCATGCTCACCTCCTCCCCCTGTTCCCTCTCCCCTCCCCCATTTCCCTCTCCCCCTCCCTCTCTTCACCAGGCGGCATCAGGGGGGCTATTCCAGGTGCACGGCAGCCCATCCCGTCGCTCGCCCCTCATGTCGCCGTTGCTCACAGACGCCCCCGCCAACCTGCAGGCGCTCAACCTCGACCAGAGCGTGCCGCACCTGTCTGATGATGTGTACCGGTAGGTGGAGAGTGGTGGGGAGTGGTGGGGAGTGGTGGGGAGTGGTGGGTGCTTCCTGAAGCATGCCCCGCCAACCTGCAAGCGCTCAACCTTGACCAGAGCGTGCCGCACCTCTCAGACGATGTTTACCAGTGGGTGGGAGGAAAGAAGGGGGAGGGGGGTGGGTGGGAGGGAGAGGGTGGTTGGATGGTAAGGGCGGAAGTGGTTTTGGAGGAACTGGGAGGAGTGCAGCACCCCCCGCCAACCTGCAGGCACTCAACCTCGACCAGAGCGTGCCACACCTCTCCGATGACGTGTACCGGTGGGTGTCGGAGGGTTGGGAAGTGGGGGAAGAGGTGGTGGGTTGGTGCGCTGGGTTCATACGAGTAGGGTCCAAAATCAGGGTTAAGGGTAGGGGGAACAGGCACTCAACCTCCTCGACCAGAGCGTGCCTGCGCTACGTTTCGGATCATGTATATCTGGTGGGTGGGCGACTTCTGAGACGTCTCAAAAGTCGTCACCTTTCGCCCTTCGCCTCTCTCCACCCTTCCCCGTCCCTCCTCGCAGTGAGTTCCAGGAGTTCAAGCAGAGGAGCCGGCGCATACGCGACGAGGCCGAGGGGGTGCGCTCATGTAGCGATCTGCTGGGCAACGTGGGGGGCTGGGGAGAGAGAGGGGGGAGGGAAGGGGGAGAATGTGCGGACACCACTATATCAAGTCAACTTGACTTCAATTCTTAGCTAATACAGGGGTTGGACGGGGGTTGGCGTGAGGGGGGCTACATTGTTTAGAGCTAGAGGGTTTAGAGCTACAGTGTTTAGATATATAGTGTTTGGAGCTACAGTGTTTAGAGCTATAGTGTTTAGAGCTACAGTGTTTTGAGCTAGCATGATTCTGTTTTATACCTGCCTCAAAAATGGTGGACTTTATTGCCACCACATAAACCTCGTATGTCCATACTTCCCCCCCCTGTGTGTCTCTCCTCCCACTCACTGTGCGTACCTACCTCTGGCTGCTGCTCCGGCTGGATCTCCGGCTGGCTGTCCTCCCTGCTTTGGACTAAAATGGAATCGTGGTGGCGATATCTCATTCAGCAATTCGATTCGCGCTCTCCTGTCTCTTCATGTGAGTCGCGTTCATCTCTGGTGCCCAGCCCAGCCATGCCACCTCAGCCACTTCTCCTACTTGCTCTACCTTCAACCCCTCCACACAGCCATCCTCTCATCTCTTGCCTCTTCTCCCATCGCCTCCTTCCTCGTTCATCCCCGCCAGTCAATGCCTCCTCGCCTTTGCTGCCTCTTCGCCACTGTTGCCTCATAACCTCTATTCCCTCCCTCCTCCTGCCCTTCCCCCGACCCCCCCCCTGCAGGTCGCTCCTCTGGCCGCAACATCCCCACCTATCTCAAGAGCTCCCACTCTTCCCCGGACCTGAAGCCCTTCCTAGCCTCTGCAGCCTCGGCACTCCTCCGTTCCTCCTCTTCTGTGCTGCCTACTTGCCTCTGCTTCTTCCATCCTCTTGTCCCTTCCCCCCCATCCCCCTTGCAGGTCGCTCCTCTGGTCGCAACACCCCCACCTACCTCGAGAGCTCCCACTCTTTCCCGGACTTCAAACCCTTCCTTGCCTCTGCTGCCTCCTCGCCGCTGCTGCCTCATGTCCTCTGCTCCCTCCGTCCTCCGTCCCCCTGCCATTCCCTCTCTCTCCTCCCCCCTGACTGCAGGTCGTTCCTCTGGTCGCAACACCCCCACCCACCTACCTCGAGAGCTCCCACTCCTCCCCGGACCTCAAGCCCTTCCTAAACTCTACTCCCTTCCCTGCCGCCTCGCCTCTGCTTCCTCCATCCTCTTATCCCTTCCCCTCTCTCCCCCCTGCAGGTCGCTCCTCTGGTCGCAACACCCCCACCTATCTCGAGAGCTCCCACTCCTCCCCGGACCTGAAGCCCTTCCTAGCCTCTGCAGCCTCGGCGCTCCTCCGATCCTCCTCCTCCGCCGCTGTCTCCTCCGCTGCCGCTCCCGCCACGTCATACCGCTCCCCGTCGCCATCCAACCTGGCGCGCTCGAACTCGCATTCCGTGGACGCTCCTGCCACGTCAGCGCCGGCTGCCACCTCAGCAGCCAAAGCTCCGGCACCGAAACCGGCTTCTGCCGAAGCATCAGCGGCGGCAGCAGCGGCGCCAGGCGCAGCAGATGGTGGGGTGGGGACAGGAGGAGCTGAAAGTGGTGAAACAGCAGCAGACGTGCCTAGCGGTGGTGGTGGGGTTGGGGCAGCAGGAGGAACGGCAGGGGAGGTGGCAGAGGGTGTGGAAGGAGCAGCAGGCAGCAGCAATGCTCCTGCTGCTACTGCAAGTGGTGCTCCTGCTGCTGTGAAGAAATCCACCCTCAATCCAAACGCCAAGGTGTGAACTGACCTTCCTCTCTTTCTCTCATGCTCTCGTCTCACCTTCTCTCATGCTCCCTGTCTCGCCCCCCTCCCTTTCCTCTCCTTCCTCTAGTCCGTTCATCCCTCTCTCCACCCAGCTTCCAACATCCCCTTTTTCCTTTCTCTCAGATTTTCCCACTTCCCCACACGCATGCACACACACACCCATGCACAGTTTGGCTCATGCACATACACCTCGTCACGTCAGGCCATCTGGGTTTGCCCCTCAAACCCCCTCTCCCTTCCCTTCCCTTACCCCTCGCCTCCCTCCCCCAAGAGTTCAAATTCAACTCCAACTCCAAGGTCTTCACACTCACCTTCGCCATGCCCGCCTCCCCTTTCCACCTCTATCACACTCACTCACCCGCTTCCTATCCCATCTTCTTCCCTTCCCCCATCCCTTCCCCCTCTCCCCTCCCCGTCCCCCTGCTACCCATCAGGAGTTCAAATTCAACTCCAACTCCAAGGTCTTCACACCCACCTTCGCCATGCCCGCCTCCCCTTCCCCCGTCTATCCCACTCACTCACCCCCTTCGTATCCCATCTTCTTCCCTCCCCCCCCCCCTTCCCCCTCCCTCCCCTCCCCCGTCCCCCACACCCCCAGGAGTTCAAGTTCAACCCCAACGCCAAGGTTTTTACACCCACCTTCTCCATGCCCGCTTCCGCGCCCCTCCCTCTCCCCCCGCCCTTCATCCCCGCCTACCCCTCCGCCCTCCCCCCCCAACCCCGCCCAGACCACCCCTTCCCCTTCCAACCCCTCCCTGGCGCACCCCCTTCCGCCCCTGGCGCCCCCATCCCCTTCCCCGCCCCCCTCTACCTCCCCACCCCTCTCCCTCCCCCCTCCCCCGCCCTGTCTTCCCCCATTCCCCCCGCCAACGCCCCTGGCGCCCCCACCCCTCCTGCTTCCGCGCTCCCCCTCCCCCTACCCTCCCCTGGGTCCGTTCCCCCTGTGGGACAAGCCGGGGCGGCAGGGCTTATTCCTATCCCTGTTTCGGTGCCAGGTGGCATGCCTCCATTGGCTGTGGCTCCCCAGCCATTGTACATGCCGCCCCAGCAGCAGCAACAGCAGCAGCAGGCATTGTTCTCTCAGCAAGGATTCACGGGAGGGGGTAGCGGGGGGAAGGAAGGGGGAAAGCAAGGGGAAGGCGGGAGTGATGGTGGGGAGTTTGGGGGGGGTGGTGGAGGGGCAGGGGGGATGCAGGGGCAAGGTGACGGGCAGGGCGCAGGGACAGCAGCAGGACAAGTGCAGAACCAGAACCAAAATCAGAATTATAATCATCACTACCAGCAGCAGCAGCAGCAGCTGCTGCAACATCAGGCACACCAGCCAAGGTCAGGACACCAGCGGCGGCAGCGGCATCACCAGCAGCAGGACAAGCAGCACAGGCACCGACAGGGGGATGGCGGGGAGTATGGTCAGCAGCAGCACCAGCACCAGCAGCAGCAGCAGCAGCAGCAGCAGCAACTCCAGCAACAGCAACAGCAGCAGCAAGTGCACTATGGGCAACAGCAACTGCAGCAGCAACAGCAGGGGCAGCAGCAGGGAGAGCAGGGGGATGGAAGCTTCTCTGATCAAAGTGACATGAACAAGTGGCAGCCGCAGCAGCAGGTTCGTCATCCTAATCTCACCTACGGTAAAAGGCGTAGCCAGCGCCATTCCAGATTTCCCTTGTCTGATAGTGCTTTTTTTTTTTGCTTTTTTTTTTCACTTGCTAGAGTAAACCTAGCCTTTGTTTTCGTTTGTTCTGCAGCACTTAATATGTGTATGTTTTCATGCTTTCCGTTCCACAATAAGGTATCCCTTGATCAGTATTAGAATCCTCTTTCTTTCCTTCAGGAGTCCTTCCTTCCTTCCCTTTTGTTCAATCGTTGCTGCTTTCCTTGCATCCGCCCTCCCCCGCTTCTCCACTGCCCCCTCTGCCCTCTCTCCCTCCCACCAGCCATCACCAGCTTTCATGCCCATGCCACCCCAGGGCATGCCGCCCCAAGGCATGCCAGGCCAAGGCATGCCACCCCAAGGGATGCTGCTGCCCGGTATGCCGCCCGGCATGCCCCCTCCCATGCGTCCCTACCTCCCTGCGCCTCACGGCGCCGGCCAGCCCATGCCTGGAGGCGGCATGGCGGGCGGCATGGGCGGCATGCCAATGATGTTCAGCCCGCAGGGGTTTCCCCAGCCCATGATGTACGGGCAGCACGGCCAGCTCATGTACATGCCCATGCCTCAGGTTCGTCCTCGCACTCTCTCCTGATTTTTTAGTCGACTCAAAGTCCGCGTGGGTTTTCTCAGCCCATGATGTATGGGCAGCACGGACAGCTCATGTACATGCCCATGCCTCAGGTCCGTCCTCGCCCTCTCCTGCCCCCCTTGGCGCACACAGCTAGCAGGCTTGATACACTGCCTTGCACACTCCCCCTTGCCGTACCACCCTTGGCCTAGCATACCCTTTCCCCAGCCCATGATGTATGGGCAGCACGGGCAGCTCATGTACATGCCCATGCCTTAGGTTCGTCCTCGCGCTCTCGTGGCTTTTTCATGTGCTGTTTGTCCTGTTGTTGTCTTTACCCGTGTTGTTGTCGGTGTTGTTTGTTTCTTGTGAGGCGTGGCATACATTTGAAGCTCAATATCTGCAATGCTAGGAAGCATGGAAGGTAGGAAGCAAGAGATAAGGTTGAGGTCTAACGTGTAGAGGAGTTTGGGGTGAAACCTCAATCATGTTTCGAGTGTTTCACCATCGCTTATCCTTTTTCTCGTGCTGCCCACCCCAGATGATGCCTGCTCCTATGATGATGGCATCTCAGCAGCAACAGGACCAGTCACAGCAACAGCAGCAGCAGCAAGACGGCTCACAGCAAGCAAGCATAGACCAGCAGCAAGGGCAACAGCAGCAACAAGACGCAGGGCAACAGCAACAGCAACAGCAGCCGCAGCAGCATGGAGCACCATTGACGGGAATGGCAGCACAGCACAAGGGTCCCCCTCAGATGTATCCCATGGGGATGCCACGAGGTGAGCTTGCGAGTGTAGCTGGCCCTACCACCCTATTGAACCCGCATCTATGCAGCTGTATCGTATCCCCACCTTTTCCTATCAATCCTTCAACTCCTCTCTCTCGCCTCAACACTCTTCATTCGCTCGTACTACTCTCTTTCCTCCAGTAGACCGCCACTATTCCTCGACACTCCTCGATCTCTCGTACTACTCTCTTTCCTCCTGATGCCCCGTTTTCCGACCGAAGTTCAATCTTCGATGTGAACCCCACCATACTCTTTGCCTTGTGTATACTCCCACCCCCTTTTCCCACCAGGTCCTGTGATGTGATGCTGCTGTCCCGTCACTTCTTCCACTGCCCACCATTGGCTCCATTCCTTAGGCACCTAAAGAATCATTCGGCATCCCCACCTCACTCCGCCCCTCTTCTCCATCCCACACCCCAACCCCTAACCATGCCCTGTGATGCTGTTGCCCTCCTCACTTCTTCCACTGCCCACCAATGGTTCCATTTCTTAGGCACCTAAAAACTCACTCTGCATCTCGAACCCGCTCCCCTCCTCTTCTTCATCCCACTCCCCCTCCCTCCACCAGGCCCTGTGATGCTGCCGCCCCCACACTTCTTCCACCGCCCGCCCATGGTTCCCATGCACGGCATGCCGCCCGGCCACATGCCCATGCCGCCCCACCAAGGCCCGTCACCTCCGGTTATGAACAGCAGCCCCCAGCCACCTGCCGCCATGCCCCCTGCGCGCTAATCGAAGTAGGGTTGTAGGGAGGGGAGTGGTGCACATACACGGCATGACGCCTGCCCACATGCCCATGCCGCCCCACCCGGGATCATCACCCCCAGTCATGAGCAACAGCCCCCAGCCGCCTGCCGCCATGCCGCCTGCGCGCTGAGGCGAAGTAGGGGTGGAGGTGGGGGAGTGGGACAGATGCAGACATGCCGCTTGCGCACATGCACATGCACATGCACATGCCTATGCCACTCAGGCTCGTCACCCGCGGTCATGAGCATACCCAGCCACCTGCCACCATGCCCCCTGCATGCTGAGGCGAATAGGGGTGGTAAGGTGGGGGATGGAAAGGGGGGCATGAAAAGCAGGCATGGCACCCACCCAGATGCACATGCCTCCCCACCTGGGGCTCGTCACTCGCAGTCATGTGCATGTGGTGCGTGCCAGCGTATGGGTATGTATGTGAGCTTTCACCTTCCCATATCATAAACAGCAGAGTTTTCTCCAGAAGAGTTTCTGTCTGTTTTTTTAGAAATAGTAGAATGGATCTATACAAGGACGTTACTGTATTTACATTAATTTTGGAAGTCAAGTCTTATCCGTTAAAGAGGGCTCTGATTCCGAATACTGTAAATGGGCTGAATATATTATGTACAGTCTCTGCTATGCTTCAACAAGTAGGAAAGAATATTCCCGTCATCACAGAACCAGGAGAGCGTGGTATAGTTATACGGAAAGCTTATTGAAGTTTATCAGGTCAACGGTCCACCCGCAGCAGCTGTGGCAATGCCACACAGAGAGAATCAGTCAACTGCCTTGTTGTGTGCGCCAGGAGGAACAGCTGATGCAGGGTGCAGTGCCGTTGTTGGTTGCCGTGCCGCTCCTGCTAGGTGCTGCCTGCCCTGAAGGCAGCTGGGGCGATGGCGTTTGCAGGTACAGCTGAGAAAGAATGCTCACCCTAGGAATGTAATGTGACGTAGAGGGTATGCAAGCGTGAGGGGGCGAATGGCAAAGAATGCCAAGTGATTGACACTCGATTTCAGGAAACGGGAGAGTCCAAAAAACACGAACTAGGACATTAGATGCAGGTCCGAGGTAGGCTAATGATAAAGAACACAAGCGTGCATACACTTCTGATGCAGGTCCGCTTCTGAACTTGGAAATAGAAAAGCGTACTCTTCAAGCATCTTGATGTGAGAAGTGAGCTCCGTGAGACAAACGTTATCCCGTACAACGATATCTATACAACTGAACATCCTCATATTACTAAGAGAAACATTACTTCTAGCAACGATTGGCCACAACAGGCACAAGTTATTATTGGTCGGTGCTGGCACCACCTGGGTACTAAACTGCTACGCCAATCAGCGAAGGACCCAACGGCTAGTTTCGCGCCGGTATAGAAGTGGCGATACAAAGGACCCATCCAGCCACCCCGCCTGGGCGCGCATTCGTAGATCCCGCGACGCCATCCGCGCTGGGCGCGTTACGCCTTCCACGCGGCCTTGGCGCTCTGCGCCTTGCCGAGTGCGGACGCGAGCAGACTCTTGTCGGCGCCGCCGGCGGGGAGCATCATGCTCACGCCGTTGATGGTGGCGATCGAGTTGCTGATCTGCCCCGCCACCAGCGTGCGCTGCCCCGTGCGGATCAGAATCGCCGCGTTGCGCAGCGCCGCCGCCGTGTCCGTGAGGCTCTTGACGTACGTCTTGACGGTCAGCTTCGCCTTGGCGCTGTCCACATCCACCGCCGCCGCATCCAGCAGCGATACCACCTTCGAGTCCGACCCGCTCAGCTTCACCGCCGGCTTCCCCGCGCCGGGGGCGCCGGGAGTGGCGGGCTTGCCGGGAGTGGCGGGGGTTTTGGGAGTGGGAGGCGTCTTCTTGCCGCCGTTCTTGTTCGGCGTGGTGAGAGTGGTGGGAGTGGAAGGGGAGGGAGTGGGAGGCGACTTCTTCGACTTCTTATCCTTCTTCTTCTTGTCCTTCTTCTTCTTCTTGTCCTCGTCATCATCATCGTCGTCGAGAATCCTCCTCGTCGCAGCATCGTCGCTGAGAGCATTGGAGGCGTCGAGCTGAGCCAGGTCGCCGGACATGGCGGCGGCAAGGGCGGATGAGGCAGCCTCGGGAATGGCGAGCTCGGCGGAAGCGTTGAGGCAAAGCGACGTCAGCACGAGCGCCACCAGGGGCAGCGCGCAGGCTAGGGCGGTCACTCTCGAGTACGCCATGGCGAGTCGTTCGAGGGAAGCGGGCTTTCTTGGAGAATAAACAGGAGCTTCGGAATTTCTTACTAGTGTGTGAAGCTGGAATGGAATGCGATGGTGGGAAGAAGTTTATCGGAGCTATTTATGGGAGTTATGGGGGGCTGAGGTGGGAGCAGGTGGAGGGTGGGAAGGGAAGGCATTTCTCTCGATTCTCAATTGGGATTGAGATGGAATGTGCGGCTCGAGAATGTGAGAGGGCGACTCGGAAAGCTATCGCTACTTGACGGCAACAAACTTGACGGAGAGCACGTCGCACCCGACCAAGCATATCGTTCAGAGTGACGTGGATGGTTCGGTCGTCCATTGGTGGTGGGGTTATGGCTTGGTGGTGCTGCTGTGGCGACGAAGTGCGTCCGCGACGAACTCACGCGACGAAATCGTGAGGGTGAGGGGGCTGAGCTGGCTGTGAAACTTGTGCGACCGACGCCATTCGTGAAGGTGTTATTCGGCACCTGGAGTGTCATCACGCCCTAGAAGGAATCGCACATCAACCTACACCCCTTCCACCCTGAAAGTCGGGTTCAGCCGATTAAAGTGGAGATAAGGATGCTTACAGTGTTACGTTATTCCTGCTTATTGTTCATAGCTATAAGCATTTAAACGAGATGGAAACAAGTTGTATGAACATGTTATGAATTGTTATATTAAAAAAATGATATTTGGACATGATAATTCTGATAGATTGAAAGACAACGGAATTCTTTCTAGGTTCCCTTGACCATAGTGAATGCAAATGAAAAGATGATACCGGTAATAATAAAATATACATTGCAAAATATGGTCCTAGCTAGCCGTGTACTCTGAGGGGTACATACCCTTCTTAACGGAATTAGAGGAACCACTACAGTGGCAGTGACTATTGCGATCCCTATGGTTACCACGTTGCAGCTCGTAACTCTCAAGGGTATAACGCAACGGACTGATAATGACTACCAAGTGTTGTGGTATAAATACTAACCCTAATGTATTATACCACCTATAGGTGACCTCACAACAATAATATATATAGTTTGAAACACCCATATAGGCTCAGTGAGAGCTAGCAAGAGAGAGCAGGAAACACAATAGTCACAAGACTAGTCAAGAGAAGTAACAACACAAAGCTCAGGGTAGATCACGAAGTCACCACACAGTTCAAAGCTAAGCAAAAGCAAGCGGCCACAAGGCCAGTTCAAGAGTTCACATATATATATGAGTGCAATTACAAGCAACAAGAAACAAGGCTACCGCAAACGAGTGCCAGTCTCAACAAGGCCTAATTGCAAACAGAAACTGTGGTGGTCACGAGGCGGAAGGGCCTTGGTGAAGATGTCTGCAGTGTTGAACTCTGAGGCGACGAAATCCAAGCGTGCATGGCCGCGTCGCTGCAACTATGGCAGGCAAAAGTACCTCACGTCGATGTGCTTCACTATGCTCTCCAGTCGAGGCTCTCGACACAGGAGAATCATGCCTTGTTGTCAGCGAACAAGGTCGGTGCAGAGTAAGGCCGCTCACCAAGGTCGTGAGGTTGAAGGTCAACTAGCGCAGTTCTTGCGCAGCCATGGCATCGGCGCAGATCTTGGCCTCAGCACTGGACGAAGCCACAGACGACGACTGTGTAGACCTACACGACACAGCTCCTGCGCCCAAGCTGAAGCAGTAACCCTGAGTAGACCACTGAGCCTGCACGTCGTCGGCATAAGAAGAGTCGCAGTGGCCGGGTACTTTGCCACCCTCACAGCAGCCGTCCAGTGAACAGGACGGTGTCTCCCAGTCTCAACAAAGCGAGAAAGAACGCTGAGGGGAAAGGCGAGGTCCGGACGAGTACACGTAATCAGGCACATGAGGCAGCCCACAAGCTCTGTGTTGGAACCATTGGACTCAAAGAGCTTGTCGAGAAAAGGGCCGGTGAGTCTGTGATCAACGGCAAGAGGAGTGGGCCGTTTGGTAGAGTACTGAAGCCCGAACCGTTGAAGGACCTGCTCCACCATGTGTGACTGAGTCAGTGTGATGGTGCGAGCGGCTCAGTCCCTAGTGATCTGCAAGCCAAGGTAGCGACGCTGTTCACCAAGGTCTGTGCACGTGTGTCTCTTCTGCAGTTCGGACTTCACCTCAGCCAGACCAACCGTGTCTGCTGTAGGGAAGACCAAGTCATCGACATGGACAAGAACGAAGAACGGAGTGGAAACAGTGCGAACAAACATCAACGGGTCGCCAGATCTCCTCAGACCCTAGACTGGTCGCCTCAGGCTCCACTGGGTCCCAGGCAGGAAAGGTTTAGTGAAGCCAGGAGGACGGGGCAGCCAGATCTCCTCGTGCAGGCGGCCCTGGAGAAAGGCAGTGGAGAATTCGAGGGAGTGCAGCTCGTAGTCTCGCTGTGCTGCAACGTGAAGTAACACCCGAAGAGTAGTCATCTTCGGGGTCCGGGCGAAGTTCTGGAAGAAGTCAATTCCCCCCCGCCGACTGAAGCCCCTAGCCACGTAGCGAGCCTTGAAGACAGGCGAGGAACCAAGCGGCCGCTTCACCTTGAAGATACACATCTTATCGACCACGTTCCCCCAGGCGGGGGAACTGCGTCGACGTAAGTGCATGTGGATCTCCAAAACGCCATCTCTGAGTCCACGGCTTCTATCCACTACGAGGCCCACTGCCCTGACACTACCTCACGGTACGTGCGAGGAGTTGGTATGTCAAGGGCGTCGGGGTCTCCCTCAGGGGCAAGCAGCATGGCACAGGGATGGGGAGATGCGGCTGCCAAGAACTCAGCTCAAACTGCATGTCCCCTAAAATGTCACAGCCAAGGGCAGACTCACCCCCGTTGGACAGAGGACGGGCAGCCACCACGCGGGTGGCATAGTCAAGGCGGCGGGTGGTGGCAAAGTCACCAACAGCGGCAACAAGAGCCGAGACAGACGACGGAGAGGCACGAGGGTCCGTGACAAGATTGGCGAGAATACGTGTGACAACAGGACTAGCAGCACGGTAGTAGTCAGTGATGGGGGTAGAGGAGGCAGGATGAGACGACTCAGGAGGAGCAGGGAGATCAGGCGCAGGCGGAGAACGACGAATACTAGAACATAGGAGGATAGTGTGAAGGTCGTCAACAGGAGACGAGGAGCGAGCACGTGGGGGACAGGGGCGGACGCCAGAGGGCGGGACAACAGGAGGAGCGAGCAGGGAACGAGAAGAGACAACAGCCGGGGACGAGTCAGAAGGAGGAAGACCGTGAGCAGGAGGAGGCGGTGTGTGGTCCGAAGAGGAGGAAGGGAAACCAAGGGTCTGAAGAGCACTCACAGGTGGGAAAAGCCACAGCAAAAGTGCCTGCTGGGGCTGTTGTGGCTGCTCTTGCTGCTGCTGCTGCTGCAGCTCCTGTCGCTGCAACTCCTGCTGCTGCTGCTCAAGCTCCAGAGTCTCCTGCACCAACGTCTCCTGCACCTCGCGCGCACGTCGAGAAAGCAGCCTGGAAACGCGTGTTGTGCAGGTGGGGAGGTGGAGGAGGCGACGTAGAACTGCCCCGAGCTCCAACTCCCTCAGAACTTATACCACCAGCGCCAGTACCACCAACTCCAACACCCCCAGAACTAGCACCTCCAGTGCCAGTGCCCGCAGCTCCAACGCCCCCAGAACGGGCACCCCCAGTGCCAGTACCCTCAGCTCCAGTACTCTCAGAACTAGCACCCGGACAGTACCCTCAGCTCCAGCACCCCCAGAACTAGCACCTCCAGTGCCAGCACCCTCAGCTCCAGCACCCTCAGAACCAGCACCTCCAGCGCTCGTGCCTCCAACACCAACACCCCCAGATTTTGCTGCAACTTGACGCGGTAGTGCCGACGGCTGCTGCAGTGACGGCGAGGACAACTGTGGGGAAGGAGGTGGCACCTGACGCGCGACCGAGAGGAGAGGGGTAGCGTGGGACACACCTGACTGGGCAGGACCAGGGGGGGCCGGGTGTACCGGAGGAGCGGGAGCAGGAGGAGGAGAGGGGCCGAGGAAAAGGGGAGGTTGGGGAACCGGAGACCTCGACAGGGGTACTAGGCGTAGTAGGGCATGGACTCATCAAAGGTGACGTCATGGGAGTCACCGGTGGAGGGGCGGGTGGTAACAGGTGTAGTCAGAGGAGCCCACCGGGAAACCAAGGAAGACACTGGGGAGGGCGCGAGCCGAGAGCTTGTCCGCAGAGGTGTCGCGGACGAGTGCAAGGCAGCCCCAGACATGAAACTCCGAAGCAACACCAAGGGACACGGTCCAAAGACAGGTCCGTGAAGCCTCTGGTTGTGAGACACGAGGCCAGAGGTTCAACTGGTGGGCGGCGTAGCGAACCGCATAAGGCCACAGAAAATGGGGCGCACGGGCATGGATCATGGAGGTGCGGGCGATCTCCAAGACCAAGCCAATGCGGCGCTCAGCAACCCCAATCTGCTGTGGGGACTCCAGAAGCGTTCAGGACTGGGTGATGCCCTGCTCGCTACAGAATTCGCGAAGAATGCCGGAGCGAAACTCACCCCCACGGTTGGAGTGAAGACCACTAACACGACGGCCACGAGTGGTCTCAGTGGCCAGCAACCACCGAATCAGCGTAGAAGTCACGTCAGACTTCTTCGCCAGGGGGAACACGGTGGTGTAGCGGGAGTCGTCAATGGCCACCAGAAAGAACCTCTCCCTCTCGGGCCCAAGGCAAGGAGCGGGGCCCCAGACGTCCAAGTGGAGAGCATGGAAGGGTGCAGTGGCCGGATGAAGGGAGGAGGAGTGAGGAGCGGCGCTTAGCCGACCCTCGACGCATGGAGTGCACGGCAACGTAGGCGAAGGAGGGAGCGACGCAAAGACGCGCGGAAGACCTGAGACAAGACGTTGGCTAGCCATGCTGGGGAGGCGAGGGAGGGACGGGTGACCAAGACGGGGGTGCCACAGGACTGTCGGGTGGGTGAGCGACCGACAGGAGCACGACGCATCAACTTGACCAGACGCAGCTACCTGATCAGACGCAGCTACCTGGGGAGACGAAGTGTGCAGTGTGAAGAGACCGGCGCTGCCTGGCCCCCTGCTAAACGAGGCCAGCAGAGCGTAGGTATCACCGTCGACGTAGGTCCCGTCATGCCCAGACGGAGGAAACCAGACGCCGACATGGCGGTCCATGGCGGTCATGAAGGTATCCAACACCCACCAAGTTCCTGGAGAACGAGGGGATGTGGAGACCAGTGAGGACACCAGAGGGGACAGCCGGGCACGGAAGGGTGGTAGAGCTGCGTGCAACTGCTGGTCGTGAAGTAGGATCAGCCAGTGCGACCGGAACCGGAGTAGGGAGCGGAGTGAGAGTCGCGTGGTCAC